TAAAAAATTGTTATCTATTTATTAAATCGCGTACATATTTCTACGATTATAGAAACTTATCGTAACTTACGAATCATGTCTGAAGTTCATTTTAAGAATCGTTACTGCACACGTTTAAAGAATTGTTATCTATCTATTAAATCACGTATATACTTCTACGAGTATAGAAACATGTTCAACTTACGAATCACGTCTGGAATTCATTTTAAGAATCATCACTGTAAACGTATTTGTCCCGTCCATTATTAATATTTAACTCGAACTTCGTTTCACGCAGGGTTGGACAAATTTCATTCACGGACAGGAATTTTAGACTCGTTTGTAAATTATCTCCCGGTCGCGTTTCGTTCGAAAATTCGTTCGTAAATTAGAATCCACCAGTGAGTTCCCCTAAACGTTCAGATGAACGAAACCGCGGGCAAAAGTTACTTTTCGAACTAAATTAAATAGTTTATTCATTATTCGCGAATAAAATTTGCCCAACTCGTCGAATTTGCAAACTCGATTTCCTCGAGATCGAAGTGTCGTTTGGAAAAATATTCTTCTTCCTTTTCGACTTATCATATACAAAATAGATTTTAGAAAATCCTGATTTCTTTCGAATACTGAAAATCTGGAAATAGTTTCGAGAACTCATTTCGTAAAATATAGTTTTCATTTTTATATATCAGTTTACAAAACAACAAATCACGTAACCTTTCTATTATTTCACTTTTGAACAACTTAATTTGCATTTCGAATGCTTTAATCTCTGAAAAAGCCTCGCCTATTAGTTTACCTTTGCTTCGAGCTTTCAAATTCAATCTATTTAATGGAGATGGAATATGTCCAAAATATGCTAACTTAAGGAGCTACGCCGAATGCATCGAATCATACATATTTTACCTTTATCGGCTATAAACGTATACATGTCGTTTCTCGATCAAAAAACCACTTAACGTTACCTTTTTACTACGCCCAACGTAATTTATTACGCGCATCCTTATAGTAAATAATATCCCTGTATTCTGCAACGATTTTTAAAAATTGGTGTTGATTCAAGCAGCTGTTCCTTTTGATGAAATTTATTATCGGTACCGCATGATCTATAATTGGATCCGGTTTAAACATTTTCGTACACAAAGTTTGTTCATGAATAATGCAGTGAAAAAATCATTGCTGGTGGATAACCCAATTCCATTATTTTTCGTGATATTCTTGCAGATAGGCCAGATTTATGACCGCCAATATTCAAATCACCGCCATTTTCAATTTAATCCCAACGAGATTACCAGTTTCTGGTACATTACAAATATATTTCTAATCTTTCATTTTTAACAAAATGATCGAGATAATTAAAAACAATCCGAATAAGGTTGTGTTTGGATTTAATTTCAAGGGAAAAATTTGACCAATCTAATGGTAATGCTGTCATAAAGATACAATGGAAAATGATCATTTTCATTATTACTGTTATATTTTGGTCTATAAACGGTCATTATTGTTACGTATTTCTGTATTTTTGGTCAGTGGACATGGATACAATTTTTGTTCGGTTTCCTGTCAACGTCGTCAACATTGCAGGTGATTTTCTTATCAGGCTATACGTATCTACTCAAGTAACGTCAATCCTCGATCACCTCCTTGTCGTAAGGCAGCTTAATCAGATTCTAAGGCAGCTTAACCAACCCCTTGACACCTCTCCGAGGCAACTCAATCAGCTTATTTTTCTGAGGCAGGTCAATCATCTCCTGAGGCAGCTTAACCAGCTCCTTAACACCTCCCCGGTATCAGCTTAATCAGCCCCTTTTTTTCGTTCGGTGACTTAATCAGCTCCTTTTCGTGAGCTGAATTAATTTTTTGAGACTGTTCAAACCTGCTCTTTAGCAGCTTACGTCCAATCATGCCACGTGTAACATCTGACAAAGTCTCAAACTAGAATTGAAATAGAAATTTACAGAATCGTAAAGAAGCTGAAATCGAAGAATATTTTTTTAAACAAAAACTGAAGTTTAGGTTCTTCAATTTCAACGACTTTAAAAATCTGATTTTACTATTATCAAAGGTACAAGATAATTTTCTGTAGAAACGTTTCATCATTTTTAACGTAATTTTTAAATAAGTGTACTGTATATAATAATAAAGAATAATAATTTTAAACGGTGTAATAAAATCATAATAAATAGATTAATAGTTTATCGACGATGTAAAGATTGATTTATTAACTCGAAACAATCAATTCGATTCGATGTAAGGGTCCGAAAACATGGAATAGCAATAATAAACAAGATTAATGTAACGTGTACGGGGTGTGTCGGAGGAGATATCATTTTTTAAAAATCGTGTATTCGATTAATCATCGAGAACGACACGACCCCCTTAAAAATAACACTTTTGACACACCCTTCGTCTCAAGACCGGAAGTCAGCTTGTACGAGACTCCTCGTAGCGTCAGTCACAGCCTCTCGAACGTGGTCAACAGTTTTAGAATGATTGCTTGTCATCTTGAGTTTCAGTTTCGAAAACAAGAAGAATTTACAGAGCGATAGATTTTTTCAAACACTCATGACAGTGGATATATTTTCACATTTCGAGGATCTAAGATTTATTATGATTTCAACCTTGATTTAGCTCCTCTTCAAAAACAATAACATTACTAAGATAATTATATTTAATATAAATATTTATTAGTATATAAATATTAAATTTATTATTATTTAATCTATGAATTGTATACTAATAAATATTATATTAATTGTATAAAATCATAGATATTTATATACTATCAAACTCTAGATATATATTTATAGATAACTATAAATTTCAATGTGATATAAATTAAAACAGACAAAAATTTATGGGGCAAAGCATAAGTAAATCTTCGAAACACGAAAATACTCTGTTTTAAAATATACTTTCGTTAAATAATATTATTAGTTATATCTATACAGCAAAAGAGAAATTTAATTTCATTATAAATTTTTTCAAACGCTTCGTTTCGACGTATTCTTTATTAACGTGCAAATTTTTGAGCTGTGTCTTTACTCAAATTGTCTCTGACGATCTTGGATCACGATTTAAATCGAGATCCGATGTTATTCGCACTATGAAGGATTGATATCGACAGGTGAAATCCTTCGGACGTTTGACGTTAATCCCCGATCTCGTGGCAATTTTATATCAAAAGCTCGTTCTGGATTATACTTCGACCTTTGAGAAATATCATAGGCCAACAGTCTTGGGCACAAAATATGAAAGCATTATTAAATGTAATTTTAATTTTGTTAAAGCTCGATCATTCTACTTTCGTGACGTGTTACTTATATTATAATTACAAATTAAATTTTCAATTCTTCTAGTCTTCTTCGAAACAAAAAACAGAAACTAATATTTTGAAATTATATTTATAAAAACTCTTGTCTGGATAGTTTGCACTAATTTGAAAGGTTTAAAATATTTATTACCCGTTTAAAAAATTCAAATACTATGCTGGAAGGTCAATAAATACATCTACAAAAGTTTCCCGTATTTATTCCCGAACCTTTTCGTTAAAACTTTCAATAATTGCTTAAATAATCACGTTTCCGATGGGAATCCACCCTTAAACCAAAAGCTTTTGGTCGCCTTTCATCGTGGCCACCGATATTGGATTGGGTCCACTATTATTAAATTCTACACGAGTTTGCTGTCTGCCATCCGTTCCGCTTGCAAATTCTATTTATTCCCATATTTTCAGCCATCAACGTGATTCCGGAGTCTTCTTGATGCGGTTTGTCTTCGAAACCACCCGTAAAACGTTTCATCGTGTCCCAAGGACGCTCTTATACGATACAACATTCCACAAAAGATTGTTTTAATTATCGTCCTTGGTCATTTCGTCGTCAATTGTGCCAAATAATAATTCTCGATAAACGCAGTTTCGTTCGTGCGCTGTTCTCAGTCCGGGAAAATATTATTTAGTCGCGCTATTTATCTGACACACTTTGTGCAACATTGTGAATCAAACCTGGACAAACCGGGGCTTCTTGGTAGGCTCAGGCTCTCGTCATTGCCCGCGAGGCAAAGCTCGGGGCGCCCCCGCGGGCAACAGACGTCACAGCAAGAAACGACGAGCAGAAGATTAACTCCTGCAATAGGAATTCAACGTCACACGCTTGCACTGACCTCTATCGTGCGTGTGTGTGCGTGATTTCGAGGCTACCAACAATTATTGACCGCTAGTTATGCCCTTACATGCTTCACATTTGCAAAGGAATGTACAGTAATGATTCGTAAAATGAACGTCGTTTCGGGGTTGGTCATGTCCATCTTTCGTATGGCTCGTATCGTGTTTTAAATATCGTCTTTCATAGTTCATTGGCACAGTCAAGAATAGAAATGTTCAATTTACGAATCATAATCAACTTACGAAAAGTTTGGTGTTTCGTACAGCTCGTATCGTTTTTTAAATGTCGTCTTTGGCAGGGATATATGAATGCATAGAAATGTTCAACTTACGAATCTGGTGTTCATTTTAAGAATCATTATTGTGTATTGCAAATGTTTCTAACTCGAGATGTCAAATAAGATTGGGAAACGCTGGTTTCAGTTTGAAATGGATAGAAACATTCAACTTATAAATCAGGGTTGGGGTTCATTTTAAGAATAATTACTGTATATTACAATTTCCCCAAACTTGACTATTATATTAGTGTTAATATCGTTGAGATGTGAAAAAAGATTGGGAAATACTGACCCCCAGTTTGGAAGGAATAGAAACATTCAACTTACGAATCACGTCTGAGGTTCAATTTAAAAGTCATGATTGTATATTGGAAATTTTTTCAAGTTGACTATTATGTTAGTGTCGATATTTTTGAGGTGCGAATAAAGATCAGGAAACGTTCAACTTATGAATCATGGGTTCATTTTAAGAATCATCACTGTATCAAAAAAAGTAATTTTCACTAGATTTTTGTTTAAGAATGTATATAACAAAAATACGTAATTGTTAATAGTGGAATGCACGTTTATTGTTACAGATTGCAAAATGGGGTGTTTTGGGAGCAAAGACAAGTTGAGCAAAGAGGATATGGATTTCCTAAAGTCGCACACGAGATATGATGAAGCGACTATAAAAGAATGGTACAAGGGATTCAAAGTGAGTACAATTTTACCATATTTGCACCTTGTAGTAATTATATTTCATTAAATTTGTTCGCTACTATACTTTGTTCATCAGATTCGATGCAACTGTCGATTTCAAGTGACTGAATAAAGCTTGTCGTTAAAATTTCAGTGATTAGTTTTAAAAATTTTCTTTAGTCCTTAACAGCAACAAGAACAGAGGGCCTCGTTTTTTATTATCACTAAATTCTCTATCGTCGCTATGACGTTCTACGTTCACTTGAACGATAAAACTAATATTAGCTCAGACAGTAATATAACTTCAGTCATTCTAGACATGTTTATCAACACATTGGTGTTTGGATTTGGGGATCAGTTAGACAAGTGTTGTACGGATTCTTCGTTCACAGAAGTTTCGACCCTGTCGCCTTTCGCTGAAGAATATTTCAGTAATTGTGGATTCAATTAATCGATTTAATACTGTGAAAAATTTAATCACCGGTATTATACGTTCCTCTCGATATCTCGCCACTTTTATTTCAAACGTTTAAACACCGTAGACGTATTTACGCAGTGCGTAACGCGTACTATAAAAGGCGTTAGTCTAACTCAGGCCTTCGCACGGGAACCGTAGGAGCGCCATCACGCTCGTTAGCAGTATTCGCATGAGTTCCGAACAGTTAATCATGCTCACACCGAGGGACAAGTTCTGTAAACAAGAAATTTCAATCAACCGATACACACTCTACGCGAGCTCGTGTAGGGTGAAGCACCTAACATCCTCGCGTTGAACAGCTTGTAAATTATGCGTTGTACAAAGAATTATAAAGTGGAAGCATTGAAACAGCTAACGGTTTTCTTCTTCTTTTAACACTTCAATCGATGGATATTTTTGAATACTGTTAAAGGAAACGCGGAAAATTTTATTTTTAATCCAATGATTTTTCACGCATCCGTTAAAGAATTATATTATGAAACAAAAGAATCCAAGAGACATTATTGTTTTATAACAATGCACACACTCTTCATTTTAAGGGTTGGAACAACCCCTCAAAGATAAAAAATCGTGAAATATTTCGTAAATAAATTCTACTTTGAGCAGAGTACGAATTACAAAATAAACTGTTGTTAAAATTAATTCGATGTCTTTGCATTAAATATATTCGTAATTCTAGCTTAAGTGTATTCTAAATTCAATATTAAACTATTAGAAAACAAACTATTGGGCGTTAAAATTAATTCTGTGTCTTTGCATTAAATAATTCGTAACTCTGGTTTGAAATGCATTATAAATTTAATATTAATATTTTGTTTGCACGTGATTCTTCATACGTTACTTTTTTGGCAAAATAGCAATTTGTGACTTTGAAAAATCTTAAATATTTTATCAACCGTACAGAAGGAATCGAAGAAATTGAATTTTGATTATAACTGAAAGTGTTTTCGGTGAATTTGGAGCAGAATTATTTCGAGTTCGTACAAAATGGATCGGGATTTTATTACATTACCACGGAAACAGATAGCCTCTAGTAATTGAACCTTAAAGTCCAGCAATTGCGGCAGGAATTGGCGACGCCGCGAAAAACTGGGTCGCTTCGAGTTGCTCAGATAATTTAGACGGTTCAAGTTAAACCCTGCTTTCCCCCAAACTAATTAAACCAAACAAACCGTCGTTACCGTCCACGATTTTGTAGTTCGTCCTGCGTTTCCCGCGGACGGTTCGGTCGGCTCGCGACCCAGTCCAGCGAGTTTTTCAATTAATTTTGTTTAATGGAAGCAACATTGTCCATTTCAAAAGCCCAAGATAAACGACATCGCGTAAAATTTAATCTGATGGAATGCATGGGCGTGGCGGGTCTGTAAAGTTTCGATTCACTCGATGCCGAATTACAGTCCCCTCGATAAAGGTTAGAATACCTCTGAATCTACCGCGTGTGTAAATGGTTTCCGATTAATCCACTAGAAAGTATCTCGTTTTCTCACTGTTCGATATATTTCAGTTCAAATTACTACAAAGAAACAGAATGATTCTAGAAACTGGTGTTTTTCATACAAGAATATAAAAAATTCATCAAGAAAAATGTTGAATCTTTCACAGTGGGCTAGAATTTTGATATTTTCTTTTGTTGGCTGCAATCTGCAGTTACATTTGTTTTTCAGATTGAACTGTGCATTTTTTACACTTCTATCTTCTCCCCCCTCTTTAATAAAATTCTTATTAAAGCGAACAATTTGAGTAGAAATAAAATAAAAAATTTCAGTTGTAAAATGAAGTATTCCAAATATATCTAAACATCTATTATTAGAATAAAATTTCGTTTTTTGCCTTCGCCATTCTACTCAAACCCATTGTTTACCTATTCCTTTCCTCCCCTAGCTGTGTCTTTTTATGTCTGTTGCTTTTCCCTTCTCTCCACCCTGTCAATTCCTTTCTTTACTTCCACCACATTTTCCTTCCACGCTATGCATCATGCATATGTTCCCATATTTCAACCCCCCACAATCTACATTTTCTGCACGTCGTATACCCCAATACTTTTTTCCACTTCTTGCTTCGTTTTCCACTCCTAAATCTTGCTACTGTCCTCCATATGCTCCTTCCCCCTCGTCGTTTTTTTTTTTAAATATTCGAACACCCCGTCTCTCTTCGCCATTTATTGTACTGCTCCACGCTACTTCATCTTTCCTCTTTTGTTTCTCTCAATTTTTACGAACTCTGCCTCTCGTATCTCCAACCCTCCTTCCCTAAAGAAACCCCTTCTTTCTTCCTCTCGTTTCATCGCCGCCCCCCCCCCCAGCCCTTCCCCCTGATTTCCTCCGAGTACTTTCGTGCCAGCTCCTCTCCCTCGTCTCAATTTCCTCTCAAAGTTCCACGCTCTTTTGCCTGCCCTTACTCTCAACTTTTCTCTCCGCGACTCTTCCTTCGCCAAGTACCCTGGCGTCTTCCACTCCATCCGCAAAGTCCACCAAGATTGTACAGAGCGTTTCATAACTGTGGTATTCATTGCAGGAAGCTGGAAAATTGGCACTCTGAGTGCCTCAAAGGAGGGTAGTTTCAAACACACGCGTTCATAAGCCGCTGGAACGCTCAACGAGCGTGGAATAAAAATAACAGAGATAAATAATAAACTAACATTTATTTACTTAAATTTGTTCATTGATATTAACACGTTGACTGCCAGACCAAACCACTCAAATTAAAAGGAAAATTAAATTTTGTTTTTAGACAATTGGAAACTAGCATACCAAGAATTTGTCATGGAATTTATTTTCACAGACTCGTTAAAATTCAAGGGCCCTACCTAGCTTTATTTTCTTTTATATCTAATATTGAGAATTAATTGTTTTAACTCCTTGGTGAAGAGTCGTGTCACCCATATGTGGGTGACGTGGCAGTCAATGTGTCAATAAAAGAAATTTTATTCGTATCGTATGTCATGAATTTTACCGAAATATTAACAATTTAATATTTTCGTTTTATGAGTGTATGAGCAAATTAATAGTGAAATTCTCTAGTCAATTGTGTGTTATTATTATTTTAATTAATTTAATTCGAACACCTTCCTGTAATGTTTTCTACCAGATGCCTTTATCTTCAAAATTTGTTTTCTTACTCGTTGCATATTTATTTTGATTTTATACGTATAAAATTTATAGCAAGGTAGCAAATCAAAATAAATAAATCTGTACCTTGATTTACATTTTCCAAGACTAGCAAGATGGTGATTTATGAACAGTAGTGTATGTTTTCCATTTCTTGATTTGAATATTTCTTTTTTCTAATATATACGAATGAAGTGCTCCTCTCAAAAGGATGAATTGGCTCATAGAATAAAATAGTCGACAAAGAAGAATTTGTAAATTTATTAGCTATGGTACGTACGTTATGAAACACGCTGTACATCGTTTCGTGCACTCTATTTTACCTCTTCCACACTTTCCATCTCCACACTCACGCCCCGTATTTCATCATCGCTCATACTAACGTGGAAAATAACCACAGCCTTCTTCTCCAGCCTTTCCTGAATCTTCTCATCCCAATTCCCCAGCCCTCCCTCACCATTCCCGCTTTCAACTCTATTACACGTGGTTCTTGTTCCTCCTGCCTTTGCATCGTACATCCTAAATCAGCGTTTAAACTTTAGTCACTCGCTAGGTGTTCTCGTTAGACAACATTATTAACGATCCAAAGTTTTATAACATGTGAATTCTGAGTTAACAAACATACAGCGACGCTGAGAGAACGTTTGCAAAGATACGTCTAAAATGCTTCTAAACTTATTAGTGAGTTTCTTGTTATATTCAGTTTATTAGCCAAAATGTGAAGATAGTTTTCAAATAAATATTCTTTGTTATTAAAAGTACCAAAAATGACAATTTATGTGACATTCTATTTTTGGAAATGGGGATTGACTCTGATGTGGTAATAAATTCTACACATAAGGTACCTTTTAAAGATATTTATTAAACTAAAAAATTCAACACAAAATTAAGAAAAATGACGTGGTGCATAAATATTAAATAAAGTTTATTTTTGTTGAATTTATAATACATGAATAATTTGTTCTTTCTAATTTATGATTTCTTCCACAAATTTGTGAACATTGACAGAAACATAATCTTGGACGTATTGAAATTTAGCATATTTGATTTTTTTTTATTTATATTCCTAATATATATATATTTTTATTCCTAATGAAGGATTTGTTAACGATTATCAACGTCTAATAATCGAAATAAATTTAATTTATTTATATCTTTGATTATATATGATTCAGAATTTGTATTTTTAAATTCTGAATATACACATATTCAATATCATTAACGTCCAACTGATTTAAGAGTAAAAAATGTAGGGTTTCACATTTCATCAATAAAATGTTTTTAATAATGGAAATGCAGTAGTTATTAAAATTAATATATTAGGTAAAATTGTTTTAAGAAAAATCGATTTATAACAGTATTGTTTCAAATATCTATAATAATAAATATTGTAAATGATTGCAATTCTTATAATTATAATGAACGTGAGGAAGATAAATTATTTCAACAATAATATGAATCTGAATAATCAGAATATCGAGGTGGTATTTCTATTAATCCTAAAAAATATGAAGGGAAAAAGGTTAAACTAACTTTAATGAATAACAACATAAATTGAATGTTTAATAATTTTTTATTCAATGTTAAACTGGCACAAAATTGAATATCAATAGAAAACTCCAGCAATAATAAAAATAACTGCACCTATAAATAAAACATAATGAAAATGAATCACCACATAATATGTATCGTGTAAAATAATATCAATTGATGAATTAGGTATATAATTTCATTTAATCCACCAATAACAACAACAAAAGTTCATTTTCAAATAAACTACTAGATAATTAAATAAAAAATAAATCATAATCCTTTTTCTATTTTGACGAATGTGTGATCAGTTCTCGTCTCAGTCTGAGTCTGTCCTCTACCACAATACTAACTAAAATTATGTTGATATTTCAGTAGTTTCCGAGAAAACAGATTGTGTCAATTTACATGGTTCACCCTGTGTACCTTACCCTCGCCTAATCTTGCTCTACCCGATCTTCTCCTTTCTCACCTCTTCTATGTATATCCGCTATATTGCATAGATAAGGGCTTATTGGGCACCCTTGCCTCGTCTCTAACCGCCCAAAAAGCTTTCACCTATCTCCCACCCTTTCACCTTTACTCTATTTCATCCCCCTCATACGCTTTCTATCCTCGGAGACGCGATACACGAGCGTTTGCGTTGGCACTTTGCTGCTGACTAGCAAGATTATTCTAGATGAATAGGAATTTTCGCAACTGTAATTGTCGTAATTAGACTTTGGATGTTTATGCATTTGTGAAAATATAGAAATAATAAAAATATAAGAGATACTTAAAGTAAGATACGAATTATTATATTTGAGGGTTGAGACAACCCTGCACAAAGCTCCCATTTCATTAATTCTATTAATAAAAATATGTATTCACATATAGTAGTATCAAACGAACGCAAATTCTATCCACTTTCAAGAAAAAATTCGAGTAGATGGATAAATTTTCCAACAAAATTAAAAAATTTCAAATCGTTCTGGAAAAATTATTTTTGTTTCCAGGGATCAATTACAATCATTTTTTGTCATTACACATACCCCCGAAATCCTACGCATTTTCGAGAAAAAAATTCCTTACCGAAAATCTAATGTGAGGCCAAGAAATGCTTCCCTAAAATTTTATGCGTATCTTTAAAACGTCATAACTCCTGAACGGATTGAAGGATTTTAATGTTTCAAAAAGCAAACAACGCGTATTTTAGTGGAGATTATGTGGATATTATGAAAATGTTGGAAAAGTTGTTCCCTGACCCTGTAAAGTGAAAAAAAACCCATAAAAATGGTCCAATTTTCAAACAGCCATAATTCCTACAATAGTGAATATATTTCATTGAAATTTTGGGGAGAACTAGAGTTCATGGATACCTACAAAAAAGTATTAAACAATTTTTCTGTACAACGCCAATCAAATTTATTAAAAATGAAAAATGAATTTTTAAGAAAAATCGATACGAGTGCCTAAATTTTTCGCCGAAAATGAAAATTTCAAATCGTTTTAAAAAAATTATTTCTAGGTGCGGGGTCAAATACAACCATTTTTGGTGAATAGACATACCCCCGAAATTCTACTCAGTTTTGAAAAAAAAATTCAAGTAGGTATTGAAAGTTTTAGGTGAAAACAAAGAATTTCGAAACGTCTTGGAAAAATTATTTTTAGTTGCAGGGGTCAATTGCAATCATTTTTGGTGAATAGACATACCCCCGAAATTCTGCGCATTTTCGAGAAAAAAATTCAGTACGGGCGGAATTTGAAACGTTAATAACTTTTTAACGAAGCCTCCATCAACAAATTGGTATTCTTGATTTTCGTACTATTTTGACCTCTAGAATCTCCCATTACAATTTTAACGAAATTAATCATTTCCATTTAATCACTGGAAAAATTTTATTTTTGTGAATGAAAACATCTTCGAGCAGTACCAGTTTTAAGTGGTGTCCTTTAATACGTTTTCGTGATCTTTATGACGTGTACACTTCGTCGTCTATGTTCTCCATCAGCCGCTTTGCTAGCACGATCGTGTACATCCTGTACAGAGTGGGCATTATCGTTACATCCCTCTATTCCCCCATGCACTTACTCTCCCTCTTCGCTGCCGGAGCTATCAGACCCTGTTTCCACGGATGGCAGTAAATGAGAGGGTTGCAAGCGATGATCTGGAAAGATATTTAGGCAGCAAGAATTCGGGATTAACACGAGCTCAAAACATGACAAATTTAATTTCGAAACTTCATTAAGTATTCTATCTATAATCTTCGTATATTTATATTTACTAGATCATTCCGCCTAACGAGAATTAAACATTTACATCCAGGCAATTTGTCTCGAATAAAAAGAGAACTAATTTTATATTTTTAAATCTGTTATATTCCAGCAACTTTTCGTTATCCAAAAAGAACCCAGTGAGCCTTGAATTTTTGTAAATTTATTACTATTGGGAAACGTCAACTTTGAACTCTGTAGAGAAAGAGTAATCTTTATATTTTCCTCAACATTGTAGTATGAGAATATTTGTTAGCTTCTGAAGGAAAAATCCTGTCAGCCAAAAAGAACCAGTGGGTCCTGAATTTTTGTAAATTGATCATTGGTTGGGAAACATCAATTTTGAACTCGGAAGAGGAAAAATAATCTTTACATTTTCCTCAACATTTTAGTATGAGAATATTGTTTAGCTTCTAAAGGAAAAATTCTGTCAGCCAAAAAGAGCCCAGTGGGCCTTGAATTTTTGTAAATTGATTGGGAAACATCAATTTTGAACTCTGAAGAGGAAAAATAATCTTTACATTTTCCTCAACATTTTAGTATGAGAATATTCTTTAGCTTCTGAAGGAAAAATTCTGTCAGCCAAAAAGAACCAGTGGGCCTTGAATTTTTGTAAATTGGTTGGGAAACATCAATTTTGAACTCTGAAGAGGAAAAATAATCTTTACATTTTCCTCAACATTTTAGTATGAGAATTGTTTTTATCTCCTGAGTGAAAAGTGCTGTCGGCCATAAACGGGTGATCGACGCGTTAAAGAAGAGAAACGTTAAAAATAAAAAAAGGAAGCAACTAATCTGCATCCTTCTCGAGCAGTTAACAATCAAATTAAAATTTCATGTTGCTGGCATCTCGCGCACAGAGGCGGCTGGGCGTGAGATCCCAAACGGCGTGGCCACCGGAGGGTGAAAGCGAACAGGCTATGCGACCCCACCCCCCAACCCCCATAAACTCAGCGTACCGGTCGTTTCACGCCAGCACTTTAAAATGTATGACAGTAAACGTAGTTTGTGGCAGATAAGGAGTCGAGGCGCGGCTGTTTCCCTCGATGGGGATTTCTACTTTAAAAACCCCAATAAAAAGGCGTTTCTTTCGGAATTTTCTACTCAAACACTATCAACAATAACAAACTTGCTATATTTACTTCCACGCACTTCAAGAAGGCGTGTATTTTTTTTCATACGGAAATATTAGCTTCTTGAATAAACACGATATCCGAAGTGCATCGATGAAAAGAAAAATTAACACTTCCAATAATTCGAGAAAAAACATTTTAAACGAAAGTCCATCAGTTTTGGTTAAAAATCAAGATCACTTTAATTTTTTTTAAATTTTCACTACGTCGTGAACTATCTATTATCATCTTAAAATCTTATTTAAGATGAATTTATTATAAATAAATAAATAAAATAATTTTCCACAAAAGTCAAATTTAAAATGGTGACATTTAAATAATTCATAATGACACTGATTTTGTAGCAAAAAAATTCTTTTTCAAGAATTCTTGCACCAAGTTGTCATGATTAAAGAGATTTTGGATGTTCCTAATAATTTGTTTAAAAAATTTACCGTAAATGTTTCTACGCAATTTCATGAACGTTTTTATTTTTTAATGTTACAGCAAGACTGCCCGAACGGTCGGTTAACGCCAGCAAAGTTTGTCGACATGTACAAAATGTTCTTCCCGTCTGGCAACGCGGAGGAATTCTGCGATCATGTCTTCCGTACATTCGACATGGACAAAAATGGCTACATCGACTTCAAGGTAAGACAAATTCCTTTCGGTTAACTCGTGCGCGATCCAGAGACACGGCGAAACTTTACTCGATTTTAGATAGCGAGTGAAAATATCCGGTTGCAATTTATTCTGAACGTTTCGCGCGATTGCGTTTTGTATCGCGTTTATTGTCGCGACGGAGTAGCTTTTTGACTTCGTCTTGAAGTTTGATGCTCGAAGTTTGGACTGTTATTACTTCGAAGCACATTCTTGTCTTGGAGAAACTACTTTCCTGAATCGATGTAGCAGAAAATCGAAATTCGATTAGTTTATTAAAACTTCTATTAAAAGCTTAATATACTATCTATCGAAATATTAATGGGTTTTTTCATATAAACGTTGAGATTTTTAAATCGAATCTGCACATTTATAACTTATATTTCAAACGTGACAAAGAAAACAAATAATAATTTTGAAAGTTTGCTACCAGCACTAGAAATGCAAATTGTTTGTAAAATTATTAAAGCAATGTGAAACAGAAACAGAATCTTTATCAATTAATATCAAAATTTCTAATTTGAGGACCATATTAATGCTTCTTTCGAAGTTAACGTTAACTTTTGTTTTCTTATTGTTTGTAAGTTTCGTAGAAAGATATGAACAAATCTATGAATTATGCAATAACAAGGACAGAATGCGAAAAATCTACCATAAAAGTTTGTTTAGTAGGCTTTGAACGAATATTCTGCTTTCTCGGGGATTTCCGTAAAGTCTCGGTTGACCGAACTTTCGGTACCCGAGATCTCGCGAACTCGCCCGAATCCAAGATTTCGTTGTTAGTGCAGCTTGAGCCAGCCTATCGTACACATCTCTTACATTTCACCCCACCAAAGTTCTGGTAGGACATTTTACGATCAAAGTAAGTATGGTTGCTTACATTTTTACAACTATACTCCATCTAGCCATAAAAATAATCGTATTTTTCGAGTTTATATTATATTTATATTTCTAATTTTTTCTGTAAAATTAAATATATTATTGATTTAATATTCTTGAATATTCCACAAAATATTCTTGTACAAAAGATGAATGTGGTTGTTAACATTTTCATTACTGTACTACATCTGGTCATAAAAACACTCGCTAAACGATTTTATATTATAGTTTCATTTCTTATTTTTTTGTGTGAAATATTCGCCCATATTTACAGTTTAAAAAGAAATTAAATATATTATTAATTTAACATTTCTGAGTATTCTACTATACTTGTACAAGAGGCATTGAATAATAAATATAGATCGTTTAATTTTAACTTTGAAAGTATAATTGGTATATTGTAATTTACAATCTAAATGAAATAATATATCATTAATTTAACATTTCTGAGTATTCTAATATTATTGTACAAGGGATATTGAATAACAAATTTCTATCAAACGTTTAATTCTAAGTTTGAAAGTGTGGTTGGTCCATTGCAAACAGATTCATGTAACAATAATGTATCGTCGTGGTTAACAACAAAATAGAAACAGCGCTATTATTCGAAGTGGCTATCTTTTGCAGCGATGCAGGCCGGCAAACGACGTGACTAATTGGCTGTCGCGGTGCACACGGTCGCCACGTTTATTTCAGAAACTGTTTTTGCCGAGTTGTCTTCAGGCCATCCATATTCCTATGTTAATTTTTACAGGACATATTCTCCGACTCTGACCACGGTCTGCATTATTTCAAAAGCCAGCCATTTGGAATGATAACGATATTATGTGTCGTTGTAAAATGTGCAAATTAAATTCTGTCTAATTAAACGTGATAATGTTCCTCAAATCGTTCACTTTGACCGAACTCCAACAATTGTAAAATTTTAAATAACGTCACGGTTTTTAGGAACATACGTGAATATGTCTCTAGATGTGAAAATATTAATATTAATACTTTACCGACCGGTAGCGGCTGATTAATCGGCTATCGGTCGGTAAGCGTTGGTCGGTAAAAAAGTCGATTAATAGGCTATCGGTCGGTAAAGTGTTAACAATAACTCACAAGGAACCATCGCGAACGGTCCGGCTTCGATTTTGATGAAACTTTGTACACTTATAAAGCAGCCAAAAATAATCGACACGTATTTTTTTTTAGCTGCGGTAACTCGAGTTTAAGGGGTGAAACCACCCCTTGAAGTTTTGGCTCGAAACGGCTATCTCGAAAACGGAAAGACATACACAAAATTTTTGTTAATGGGCGAGGTTGATGGTTTCTTATGTACAATAACATGGTGTTAAAAAATTTTAAAAAATACAATTTGTTTATAACAAAAAAAAATTTATTAACTTAATTTTTCATTTTATTGAAATTTTCATAATGACAAAAAATGACGAGCATTTTATTCCAAATCCATTGGTATGCGATTTTTTTAAATTGCTTCCTACAGTTTTGCAGATTTTGATGATTTACATCATGCGCGCACATCCATTATGGTAGTAGCTGTTCTAACTTTGATTTTAATGAAGCACTGTAGGCTTGCACTACTTCTAGAGGACAAAATCGGGAAAAATACAAGAATACCAATTTGTTGATGGAGGCTTCGTTAAGAAATTATTAACGTTTAAAGTTTCGCCCGTACTGAATTTTTTTCTCCGAAATGTCCAAGATTTGGGGGGAATGTGTAATGACCAAAAATGATTGTAATCGACCCCTGCAACCGAAAATAATTTTTTCAGAATGGTTTGAAATTTTTTAATTTTGTTGAAAAATTTCACACATTTTCGAATTTTTTTCTCAAAAGTGCGTAGGATTTCGGGGGTATATATATTGACCAAAAATGATTTAAATTGACTCCCGCAACTGAAAATAATTTTTTTAGAACGATTTGAAATTTTTTTTTTTCGCTGAAAAATTTAGGCACTACGCCCTGTCGATTTTTCTTAAAAATTCGTTTTTCATTTTTAATCATTTTGTTTGACGCCCTACAAAAAAGTTGGCCAATACTTTTTTGTAGGTACCTATGAGCTCTACTTCAGAAAACAGTTTCATTGAAATATATTCACTATTGTAGGAATTATGGCTGTTTGAAGATTGGAGCATTTTAATGGGGTTTTTCTCATTTTGCGGGGTCAAGGATCAACTTTTTGCATATTTTTGCGATATCTACGTATTCTTGATTAAAATTCGCGTCGTTTGCATTTTTGAAAATTAAAATCCTTCAATCCGTTCAGAAGTTATGACATTTTAAAGATCCGCATGAAATTTTCGGACAACATTTCTGGCCATAAATTACATTTTCGATTAGGAATTTTTTTCTCGAAAGTGCGTAGGATTTCGTGGGTATATGTATTGACCAAAAATGATTCCAATTGGCCCCCGCAACCGAAAATAATTTTTTCCTGGAGGATTTGAAATTTTTTAATTTAATTTTTTAATAACTTTTTAACGAAGCCTCCTACAACAAATTGGTATTCTTGTATTTTTCCCGATTTTGTCCTCTAGAAGTAGTGCAAGCCTACAGTGCTTCATTAAAATCAAAGTTAGAACAGCTACTACCATAATGGATGTGCGCGCAAGATGTAAATCATCAAAATCTGCAAAACTGTAGGAGGCAATTTAAAAAAATCGCATACCAATGGATTTGGAATAAAATGCTCGTCATTTTTTGTCATTATGAAAATTTCAATAAAATGAAAAATTAAGTTAATAAATTTTTTTTTGTTATAAACAAATTGTATTTTTTTTAATTTTTTAACACCATGTTATTGTACATAAGAAACCATCAACCTCGCCCATTAACAATTTTTTTGTATGTCTTTCCGTTTTCGAGATAGCCGTTTCGAGCCAAAACTTCAAGGGGTGGTTTCACCCCTTAAACTCGAATTACCGCAGCTAAAAAAAAATACGTGTCGATTATTTTTGGCTGCTTTATAAGTGTACAAAATTTCATCAAAATCGAAGCCGGACCGTTCGCGATGGTTCCTTGTCAGTATACAATATTTGTGACGAAATTTGAATCTAGACTATGTATATCTCTTTAATACTTTTTTATCGAAACCACCTAAGTAGTTTTTTTTTTTTAATTAATCAATACGGATTTAACGACGTTTCGTAGATTTTAGGTGCAATCGGTGCGAGGAAAAATGAATTTTTCGAATAGCAGAAAATTCCTCGTATATTCCGAGAATGGTCGAGGAGAATTTGAACAGAAAATGAAATCGTGAATTTGTATGGTCGGTGCTTGCTGAGATTGAGTTCGCGACACATCCTCCATACCAGCTGAATTTACATACTACAACGGGAGTAACGAGTCGAAATTTTCGGCAAAGGCTACCGTGAAATTATTGAATTTTAGAGGTCACGTTTTCTCGAGTAAGTGGTGGTTCCAATTCCAGCGGCGGTCTGGCACAAATAATGTTAGAATATTCCAGAAAATATACCATACAAATAAATCTGCAAAGCCACCAATCTGTTTGTACTTTTGTTTGCCCTTTGAGCGTCGAGGAAAACCAAAAACTGTATTTTCAGAACTCTTTCCAATTTAGAGATTCCTTTGTGTCGGAATTTAATCGTGGTAGAATCGTAAAAGAATTTTAACGAGTCTTTCAGATCATATGAAGTAATTTGTATATTAATGGGGAATAATTTCTCGTAAAGATATTAAACGCAATTTGATGTATGAATTGTGGTCTCCTACTGTCGTTTCAAAAGTAATTATAAGTTGAAATATTATTATTTGATACGAAGTAATAATTTTAAATTGGTTCTTGCACTATTGAAATTGTAGTTTTAATTAGTGTATTTTGAACATTGCAATTTTAAGGTGGTGCTTTTTCACTGTTTCGATCTTTTCTTGTAGGTTGTATTTTTTGTATTTAACAGTTGAACAATATTTGATACTGAGAATCCTGGAATTTTTAATTTGAAGAAATGAATAGTTTCCTTAGAAGATATGTATTGAAATAACTACTATACTTATTTGGAAATTACATCTATAATTATTAATTCGTTTAATCCACGTTTCATTCATTCATTTAAAAAGCAACCCTTAACATACAAAGACAGAGATC